AATCCCAGAAATAAGTAATAAATTACTTTAAATTTTTTTTTTTTTTTTTTGCATGCCTCAAATTCAATGCTTAACAAACGCAAAACAATTCCCAAATTTAACCTTAACATTAATGTTTCTTATTACACGAAACAAAACCTTTTAATAGAAACAAAAAGAAAAAAAAAGAAGGCAAAGTATTAAATTCAATTTTATTTGCATCAACTTAAGAAAATTGTGTGTTAGAGGCTTAAGGTTAAACAAAAATTAAATATTTTGAACTACTTTTTTTATAAATTGATAATAAAATTTGACTTTTGTGCGACAGATATGCGAAGAAAATTACCCGCGTGAAAAACTCGTAAAACGATAAATAATTCATTGTTTAATTAAAAAACAGAAATTTCCGCCATAAACAGAAAATGATACATGTGTACATATTCATACACGTCATACGAATTCATCCCTTAAAATTTTACACTTGCTAAATTATATTATTCCTCCCTTTTTAAATTAAAAAAATATTCTCACGATAATAAACCAAACATTATTTGAATTCGACATCGAATAAGTTTTTTAAATTTACGATTACATTTAATAATTTCATTTTAAAGTTACTTAAAATTTTGAACTTGATTAAAAAAAAAAAAAAAATCGAAACGGGTTAACATTGCTGGTAGCAAAATTTATTTTAAAAACCCCAAATAAAAATAAAGTGCGAAAGTATATATTTATCTATCCGTAATGGATTATCCTTTTTTTTTTTTTATATAATCATCCACGATGCACGCATATATATAAAATCATCATCATCATCGATAAAACTTTTCCTTTAAATACCAAAAAAAAAAAAAAAAAATTGATATTATTATCACTCGAAATTAAAGGTACAACGTTAGTTATTATTATTTAAAATGTGGAAAATTTGAGTAAAAGAGTTTGGCAGTATTTTATGAATTATTTAGGAAATTTCTTGGGCTAGAATTAAAATGATGACAATAATCAGAGCAGAACAAGAGGATGGATCACCAATTAAATTTTTATTATTATTATTTTTTTTTTTTCATTAATTAAAAAATTAAGTAAATAAAAACAACTCGAATAAATGTTTTTTAATTTCATAATGGCAAATTAATTCAACACAAATTTTTTTTTTTTTTTTTAATTAATTTCTGTAAAAACAAAAAAAAATGAAAATAATCACTAAAATACTAATAATATAATGGCGACCTATTGAATCCACAACCACCAATGATCCACAACAACCAATAAGGGTGTAAAATTTAACATACAAACCCAAAGGGAAGTTTACAATTATTACTACAACAATAAAGTTTTTTATACACACTTTCCTAATTATCGATATCGTTTTTTTTTTTTTTTTTTTTTTTAAATTTTATTATATTCCTTTTTATTTTTTTCATAAAAATAAATTTTTTTTTTTGTTTTTTTCCTAAACAAACGACGACTTGTTTACATTCCAATAATATTTTTCTTTTTGATAAATTTATATACGTAGACATAAAAATAGAAAATTAGTAAAAAAATTTTTTTTTTTTTTTTGTGATTGTCAGAGATGAATTTTACGATGAGAAATAATTTACGACATAACAAAAAAAGCATAAAAACCGAATTATATATTAAATTTTCTTTTTCTTTTTTTTTGTTCCTTTTTTCTCTCCCTTCTCCCCCTCCCCCCTCTCTCTCTCCCACTCTCTCAACTGGTACGAAAACTTTTTTGAATTAATAATTACGAAACACGAATGCAAAATTTGAAATCTTGCAGGTGATGTTTTTACGACATTAATTCAAAAAAAAAAAAAAAAAAATCATTAAATATTTATTAAAATGAATTTAAGAAAGAAAGCCATCAACAGGAGGTGTAACTTTTTTTTAAAATCTATTTTATGAGTAAACGATAATAAAATAAATAAATGATTGATTAAATTTAAATCTAAATCATCCAAAAAAAAAAAATTTGGAATTTTTAAAAATAAATATAACCGATATTAAGACATATTTTTTATCTATGTGGTACTTATACGTTTTAAACATTACTTCATAAACCTTCATCTGTTTTTTTAAAAACGTTATTAATTTACTCAACATTACTTTTGCTCTAATAAAATGATATTAAACACAATTTAGTGTTTTCAATTAAGTCCATTTAAGATAAATACATATTTATATACATTTCAAGTATTTATACATGTACACCACGATACTACAATAAATCTTTTGTAAATAAAAAGTAATGAACCAAAGTACAATTTTTTTGTCAAAAGGGTTGGCAAATTACATTAAAAAAGTTTGATAAGCACAAAAATAATTTTGAAAAAATTGATAATTTTACAAAAAAGAAAAGTTCTGTCGAAAACTTAAATAATAATTTTTTTTTTTTATGACCCAAAGAAATCAAATTTTTTTTTTTTTTTAATAAAATATGTAATCATATTTTAAAACCAAAACAACAATAATAATAATAATATCATTGAATTATGTTAATTTATGATAAATGTTTAATATTTATATTCTGAGATGTTTTCAATGTGTTATTTTTAAAAAGTTATCGAATACCCAATTGTAAAAAAAAAACTCGAAATTTTGATTTTACTCACCATAAAAAGTTGATTTTGGTCTTGCATTTCACTAATGTGATATCCTATTACCTGAAAAATAATACAGTAAATTTTTAATATCAAGGAAATATTTGAACAAAAGAATACATTTACTTTAGGTTCTAAAATACAATAGATTAAAATAAATAAGTTATTAATTGGTACATTTTACATAAAATTCATGATGTAAATATCTTTACAATAACATTACTACTACAGCAAGATAATTGTATAATTAAATATTATCATAATTAAAAGTTGATTTCTTACTTTGGCTCATATTTATTCAGGGGAAAAAAATAATAAAACTTACAATGGTAAAATAATAATAATTAATAGAAAAAAAAGCATTTTTTGTAAATTTTTTTTTAATTACAAATCAATCGACAAAAGGAAAAGAATAAATTTAACATATAAATTGTATCATACAATATTAATAATACTTGTTTTTGACTTAAGGCTTTAAATTGTTAAAATATTTTATTTTTCTTCAAGTATCTTTGGAAATTTTCAATTTGAATTTTTAAACGAAACTTTAAGGGTTAATTAAAATAAATCATTAAGTCCTAGGCAAAAAAATTAAAATAAATTATGCATTATCAGGAAACATTAAAAATTGTATTCAGTATGAAAAATAATTGTGGAAATGTAAAATAATAGTCTGAAAACACACATTTCTTGAGTAAATATTAAAATATGAATAAAAGCCAATGTTTTATTCCAACTTTTGGTTGCATTTTTGAATTTTTTATTACTAAGCCAGTGAGTATGCTTTAAAATCTATAAATAGAGATTAAATATCGAAAACGTTATGCAGAAATTATTCTTTTACAAAAATTTATTTGCCTCAAACTATGAAATCAGAGAGCTTTACATTTATTATACTCAGTTAAATAATTTTTTTTAACTTTTTTGACATGAAGAGACATGCCATTAAATTCAGAACAAACTGAGCCAGGTATGACGACACCGATAGTCTGTTAACACAAAAGAAAAGAAAATGTAAAATAAAACGAATTACTTCTTAACATTAGTTTTTTCTTTTTAACGAACAGATGAAAATTTAAAAACGCACAAAAAAAATTATTTACAATAACACCACTAAGTAAAATAATCACATAATTCAAACAAAAACAAATCGACACCCACAAAATGGTGGCTAACGACAACAATTCACCTAAAGTAAAAAATTTACAAATGTTGCCGCAATATTTTTCAAAAGTTGGCTATGATTTTTTTCCCGCTAATTATTTTTGCATCTTACTAAAATATATTAAATGCAGCCTTTAATATTTAATTATTGTTAAATATTTACGTAATAGTAATGATTTAATGAAAATAAACAATTAAAATTTACTTTATTTTTTTTAAATTTTAATTTTTAAAAATATAAATACTTAATAAAAAGTATCATTACCTAACTTTTTCGGTTAAAGGATTTTCATTATGTCTATGTTTCCGAATTGAAAATATATTTAGCGAGTTTGGTTTTTATTTATTACAAAGAAAAACTTTTACGTATAATTTCAATTTTAAAAAAAAGAACTTTAAAACAATTGTCGAATAAAAGTAATTTTAATTCAAAAACATAAAAATTCATTAACTTTTACTCATTTTACCGGAAGCTTTAAAGTCGTCAATGTCATTCTTATAAAGGAGGCTTCGGCATTTAGCATGGCCTTACTAATCCGCCATTTTCTTTTTGGTCTAGGTTCCTGGAATAGGATTTGAATAAGTCTGGTGATCACATTTTCTATTGCTATCGCAAAATTGTCTTATTAAAAACTTCAAATTAACAAAAAGTGTTTTAATTAGTTTAGCTTAATAGTTAATTATGGCTGCCCCAGGTGGCGGTGTGGGTGAGTATTTAATTAAGATTTCAATACCGACAATTTTTTTTTTAATTTTAGAAATTGTGTAATAATGTAATGAATTAATTTTTAAAATCTTAAAAGTATTTTTTTATAAAAATTATTAAAGATTTTTAATTTTATGCATAATTAATGAATTGTTTTTATTATTGAAGGTCACCCCACCCTTAATACTTTCTGAGGCAATACTTAAAAAAATAATTCTTGTTCAAAATAACGTAACAACTTATAAAATATTTTATTAAATTTATTAATTCTGTATTTTTATTTGAATCATAAAATTTTAACAAGGACGCTATTTTTTACTTTTATGTCATAAAAGCTTCATTCTAAAGTTTAAAATTTTAATAATCATAAGATTAACATTATTTTACTTACTAATTTTATTATACAAGTTTTTAATAACTAATTTTAATATGTGTAAAATTGTTTAAAAAATTTAAAAAATTCAAATTCTCACCATTGTAATTAAACCTCAACATTTTTAGAGCCTTTCCTATAATCCTTTCAGATAAAGGAAGAATGCACGGAGATGGACATGATGTCGGTATGTTCCTTTCTTTCTATTTTTTCCAACCTTAAAACAATCTTTGTTAATGGAAAAAGTCAATATAGGTAATCCTAAACATGCTATATTTCTTTTTTCATTTTTTTTTTGTAGTTCCTTCATTGTTTTATGTTGGGTAATTTACCTTTTTAAATTTATAAATCTCATAACTATTAAATACAATTAAATTAACCAAACCTCATTATTTTTTTTTCCAATTTTCTTAGATCTGATGATGTGTAGCAGAAAGTTTTTTTTTTTTTTTTTTTTACAACCAAGTAAAAAAGTTTTGAAGCTAATTAATACCTTTAATTCCTTATTTTTTTTATTAAAAATTTATGCTTTTAATAATTGAATTATTATTTTTTAAATTTAGGTATTTTTTTAAAATGTTTTTTTTTCAGTGGTTCCTCGTAATTTTCGACTGTTAGATGAGTTAGAACAAGGTCAAAGAGGAGTTAGTGATGGTACAATTAGCTGGGGATTAGAAAGTGATGACGATATGACATTAACTCATTGGACTGGAATGATAATAGGACCTCCAAGGACTCCATATGAAAACAGAATGTATAGTTTGAAAATTGAATGCGGGAACAAATATCCTGATGAACCTCCTGTTGCTAAGTTTATTTCTAGGATTAATATGATTGGTGTCAATAACTCAACAGGAGTAGTAAGTATTTCATTAAAACAGTGATTATCATTTAGTGATTATAGAAACACTAATTTTATAACATAAGTTAGCATAATATCGATGTAATTTAGTAATCATGTTTCTGTTATATCGGTGTATTCTGTAAAAAAAAAAAAAAAAAAAAAAAACCCAATTTTCAGGTTGATAGTAGAAGTATTCCTGTGTTAGGGAGATGGCAGCGCGATTATACTATTAAAAATGTACTTGAAGAACTTCGAAGGCTGATGACACTTAAAGAAAATATGAAATTAACACAACCCCCAGAAGGAAGTTCATTCTAGCACACTTACTAACTTTACTCGCTGGTAATTAATTTATATTTATAATAATAATAATAATAATAATGAATTAAAAACAGGTAAAAATAATTTTTTTTTTTTAAAAATAAAATTGCAACTTATTAATGTAATTCTTTTTTTTTATGTTATGTTAAGTGAATTCGAAAGGCTTCCATTCATACATGAAGCAGAACCTTTGTCATTTATTTGTATCAAGAGAATATTTTAATGGTCAGTTGTAGTTTGTGGATCTCCACTTGCATGATTAAAATATAAAAATGAAAAATAAAAAAAATTAAAAATAAACTTTATTAAAATTATTTTACATTAGTTTTAATTTAATAAAAGTGAATTGAATATTATGAATAAGACAAAAATATGATATTTTTTTTTCATTTTTTTTTTTTTTTTAAGTTTTTATATTATTGGTAAATGAAAAAAATAAAAATGATAGGCAAGTCATAGCAGAACAAAATAAAAAAATATTTTCAATGTTTCATTTATAAGGAAGACAATAAAAAAAAAAAAAAAAGAAATTTATGGTAATAAAATATGATTAAAATAAAATTTTTTATTATTTTTTCAGCATGGATATTTTGAATGAATAATTTTAAAAGAAAAATAATAAAATCACTGAGTGAATATGTAGTAACCTTAATTGCAATAATTTGTAAATTATCATTTTATAAATGTTTCTGTATTACAAAAATATAAACTTTAATTCAAAATAAAAAAAAAAATGTTTTAATTTACCCATAATCTAATTTAGTTTTTCCAATAAGCCAAAAATAAAATTGTATCATATTTAATTTTTTTTTTTTTTTTTATAATTGAATCGAATGAGTAAAATCTCGAATGAAGTTGATTTAAAATGATGTTGAACCACAATTCAATTTAAGTCAGTGCCGTTTTATATATGTAATCAGTGAATATTCTCAATTAAATGTAATATTATCAAGAGAACATTCTTATAATATTGAAAAGTTAAAAAAATTTAAATATTTTTTTATAATATATAAATTTTTATTTATTCGAATAATACACAAATGAATTATTACAATCACAAGTTGAAATTAATCTTCGACTATATTTTTCAATAGGCTTTCAAAACTTACAACGTATAAATACTGAATAAAGTCCTATTCATTATTATTAATAATAATAATCATAAATAAAAAAGTAATTAGACGCAGAAGAAAAATAATTTAAAATGAAATTTTTTAAACCCCCAAAATTATACTATTTTAAATTTTTACATAAAAATTTAGCAATTAGACTTAGGTATTCAGAAATTTTGATTTCTAATAAGCATGATGAACTATCTCTTGTATAGACAACAATTATTATTATTGTATTTTAATAATGTATTTTGTACATACAAGTTTACACAAAAATAATATATAAAAAAAATATTTCGACTTCAAGTTCAACACATAAAACTAATAAAAATTACACCATTACTGATAAAATACATTGTTAAGGAATCAAAATAAAAAATAAAAAACAATGTAAACTAATCATGTATATTTACACATCCAAATAATCATTCCTGAAATAAATAAGCTTTATAACTACAACTTTTGTATTTGGTTAGATTGAATAATAAAAAAAAAAAAAAAAAAAAAAAAAAATTAACGAGACTAAATTTGTTGTCGGATTGATCAATTATTTAATGAGGAGTTTTTCACGAAAATAAAATGTACTGATTTGTTTCACCATGCCTATATTACAAGCTTTTTCCAACTTTTCTTTTAGAATTTTATCTAATTATTATTTATTTTAACCGCTTAGCAGGTGGATGAATTACAATCTTTCTAGTTTTAAGACTTGTCCATTTTACTCTTTTGTAGTATAAAACACATAAAAATGCTATCGGTGTAAACAAAGCAACCTGAAAAAAATTTATATTTAAAAGAATTTAAAAACAAAAAAAAAAAAAAAAAACATTTTATAAGAGGTGTATTTATTTTGTCAATACCTTAAGAAGTAATAGTTTTCGTTCATCAATGTTAGGTTCAGATGACCACCTTAGAAAAGCACTAACATCCTTTGCCAATTGAGATGTTGTTGCTGGAGTACCATCTTCATACTCAATTATATCATCATAAAGTGCTTTAGCCATACTTATATTTCCACCAGCAAAATAAACATTGTAGTGTTGCCCTTCTGGTACAACATGACCAGCTGGGGCATCAAAATAACCAGTTAACAGATGAAACAAATAATTCTAGAATAAAAAAAAAAAAAAAAAAAAAAAAATTTATTTTACATCATTATTTAAATGTGATTAGCCTAAAATACTAATTGATAAATTTTTACATCTTTTCCATGTCTTGCAGATGAAATCAATGTTAAATCAGGAGGATAGGCTCCATTATTGGCAGCTCTAGCAGCTTCTTCATTTGGATATGGACTGGGAAAGTAATCACTAAGTTTTCCTGGTCTCATAAAGTACTCTCCCACATCATTAGGACCATCTTTAATTTGGACATCAAATGCTTCTGCTTTAGCTTCATCTTCAGTATGAGTGACCCCAACTAATCGACGATAAGGTAAAAATTTCATACTATGACATGCTGAACAAACTTGTTTGTAAACTTCATAACCCCTTCTTAAACTATTAAAAGTAAAATTAAAAAATTTTTAACTGAATTATACAATATAAAATCTAAAAAAAAAAAAAAAAACTTAATATTGTTATATTAAGTTTTTTTATAATAAGCAAATTTTCAATGAATGTTTATGAAACTGAACAACATAAATCTGATCTAAAACATTTTTACTGTATGTAAAATTAAAAACAAAACTAAAAAAAATTCAGAAATTAGATTTTACTACTTTGTGAAGTAATAGTTCAAAATTTAATAACAATAATAATTTTTCAACTTGCAAATTAAAATTATAAAAAGATTTTACAGCAAATAAATGTAAAAATTTAACAATTTTTCTGTTTTTTATTCATTCTTTTTAATGCATATTACATTACTTAGCTTATGGAGAAAAAATTGTGAGAAAATTTCGAGTAATAGATTTTTATTTTAATTATTAGATCTGATTTGAATAAATAAATTTAGAATTAATTTTAAATTAAAATTTGCAAAGTAAGTTACATGGAAATAAACTTTAGGTCTTAAACTATTTTACCTTGCATGATCAAATGAAGAAAAAAGACCAGAATGGGGCCATGGCATTTTTGGAGGATGAGCAACTAAATCACTAGCTTTGACTGAGATATCTAGTGCATACATCAATGCTCCAGCACCACCAGCCAACACACCAACAGTTGCTATCAAGTGATTTCGACTTTTTGTCCATGATGACGTAGACAAATTCGCAGCCTTAAATAAAATTTAGTACAAGTAAAATATTTTTCTAAAAATTTTAATAGGAAAACAAAAAAAAAAGGTGCATATTTCAAGTATAAAAACAAGACGACAATTTTTTTTCGCATATAAAAATTTTATTATTTAGTTAAAAATTTTTATATTTCAAAACTGACATCTTAAAACAATTTTTTAAATATATAAAGAATTAAATAATTTACCTGCTGCAAATAGTTGCTATTTCTAGATTGCAATATTCGAGGGTTATAGATTCTTCCAACAGCGGCGGCCATGTTGCAATGATGAAAAAAAGTTGAGAAACTTAAAATTAAAAGTAAAATTAAAAATTTTTTAAATTAATTTATTTTTTAAATAAATATTTTTTTATTTAATTATTAAAATTTTTAAAGCTATTTTTTATGGTTAAAAATTGACAAATTTTTTTTTTTCAACTTTCAAACACTGCATTGACGATTTCACTGACGATTTCCTGTAGCGACTTTCCGATTGTACTTCATTTTCAACGTCGCCATCGGCCGCCATTTGCTAGTTTGTGAAAAGGAGTTCATCCGTTAATGTAAAATTTTTTCATGGTTATCTCGGGCATCCGGTGACATCAATTATTTTAAAAATGAGTGCTCAAATGCCAGAACTTGGTAGTAAAATTACTTTAATTTCTAAAGCGGATATTCGTTACGAAGGTCGATTATTTACCGTTGATCCACAAGAATGTACAATTGCCCTAGCTAATGGTAAGGGAGATTTATTGTTTACAATTTTTTCAGTATCTCTAAAGTGAGATAATAAGCTTATTAATTTTTAAGTATATTTTATTTGTTTTTTCACCTATTTAGTGATTAAATTACAGTATATAAAAAATTTTCAATTGGACGTATTCAGCTGGTGGCAGGATATTTTGTTGACAAGACTTGTCTTAACAGAAATAATCCTGCTTTGTTTCATTATACATTACGTTTGATTTTTTTTCTTTAATTTTTTTTATTAATTTTAATAAAGCATATTGTTGATCATTAATGATTTGTTTAAATTTAAGTTTGGAATTTGTTTTTATTTTTCTAAACTTAAGATTTTTAAATATTGCTAGAGTATATTTTTATTCAGCCATTTTAATGGTAATCAGTAAATGGTTTGATTTTTTAGAATGTGTTGGTTTTATGCTAAATATCGTTTCAATGATATAATCTTGTAATTTTTATTTGTTTTTTTTTTTATTCACAAATGCAGTATTTTATATTTTAGTTTAATTTAATCGATTTATTTCAGTTCGCTCATTCGGAACAGAAGATAGGGAAACTCAGTATCCTGTTCCGGCCCAGAGTCAAGTGTATGATTACATACTTTTTAGAGGATCTGATATTAAGGATATAAGAGTTGTTACTACTCAAATACCAAATGATCCTGCAATTGTTCAGGTATTTTCATTAAGTAAAGTAACTTCACAAATAAAAAAGTTTAAATATTTAACATATTGTTTCTTTTTTTTGTTTTTTTTTTTTTTATAAATGTAAATTTGTACTGTAGTATATTATAAATTTTGCAAAAAATTTGTTAAAGCTTGTTCCTCCAACCATTAATCAACAGCCTGGCTATCAAACTCAAGCATTTAGTCACCCTGTCATGGGGTCGTCATTGTCTCAGTACCCTGGATATGGTGGAATGGGTGGTATGCCATCTGGTAACATAGGACTTCAAAGAGCACCTGGCCCACTGCTAATGCAACCAAGTGAGTTAGGATCTACTGGGTCTGCTTCTGATCCACCCCAGTCAGAGGGCCCTACCCCTTCATTACAAACCTCTAATGTTCCTATTGGGCCTCTCTCAATTGACAAAGAACAAGGTAAACTGATTTTGCAAACTTTGTTACCTTTTGCTTTATAAGTAAAATAGGATTTGCATCACTATAGTTAGCTTGCTTATGCTTTCATCTGGCCTTTACTGCAGCTTTATACTTTTAAAGGGATTTCAATTTTATTATTATTACCATACTTTATCTTGAGAAATATATAAGCACTTTAAAAATTCAATTGAGAACTTTATCAAAAGCTCTTGTTTCAAATCAATTTTATATAAATTTATTAACATAAGCTTTCAATTTTACAGCTTGTATAAATAAAATAATGTTTACTCGAGGGTGTAATTCTGAACGATAATTTTTAAATTTAGACATATCGAATTTTTTTTAAACTTAGGGGTAACTTCTCACTAATGCTTTTGTTGTTAGTTAAATATGATTGAAATATGTAAAGTGATTACTTAATTTTAGCATAATTTATTTTTAAAAAAAAATATTATTAACTATTTTTTAAGAAAGGTAGAATAATGATAACTTAACTTTTGTGGTGATGTAGACTTTTGTATCAAACTGGCAACTTATTTTCCTCCTTTAATTTTTTACATATAAGTTAACATTCTATTACCCTAATAAAAAGATAAATTGCTTTTTACCCAAAATTTCTTATGTAAAGTTTTTATTTCGCGGTTTTATTATTCTAAAATTCGACAGATGCTAATTTATTGTATATATTTGCTTTTTTGAAAAGCTTTAAAAAATTATTTTTAAATTTGAAAAGAATAGTTTTAATAATTAACATTTAATTTCATTACAAATTCATTTTAAAATGTTCTTTTATCAAAAATAAATCTATTTAAAATTTTTTGAAAATTTTATAAAATATTTCAAGTATAATGCAGTAAAAGTCCAGAATGAGTTGTTTGCCTGCTGCTTTAAAGCTTCGAACATTGCTGCTTGCATTAATTAATAATTTTTTTTTTTTTTTTTTTTTTTACATATTAGTTGGTATTTAGAAGACTTAATTTGAAACATTTGGAGTCTTTGTAATAAATTGCCAATCTTTTTTTTTTTTTTTTTTTTTTTTTTTTTTTTTTAATTGAAAAAAAATTTAAATAAATTTTCGAATAGAGGTCTAGCTAAATAATGCGTTTGCTTTGTGCCGCGGATTGATAATGACAGATATTATGAGCAAGTATATAATTTTTTAACTACTTATTAGTATTAGCTTATAACAAAAATTTTTAAATAATGTGCAATGTTCAGATACTTAGCAAAATCAGTATACAATGTGTTTTTTATATATATTTATTTATTTAATTTAATTTTTTTTTTTTTTTAAATGTTTTTCTCCTCTTATTAAAAATATTTATATTTTATTACTTGCTTCTAGTTGATTAAAAATAATAATAATTTCTTGAATTTTTTTTCTTTTTTCTCTTTTTAATTTTGGTTTAGTTAGTGGTATGTATGTATGTATGTATGTATGTCTCTTTTATTATTATTATTATTATTATTATTATTATTATTATTTCACAAATATTTTTCTTTGTAATTCTTGTTTTTTCTTGTTAATTTTTGTCTTGGTATGTCTTTTTTTCCTTTTTTTGTTAAATGTTATACATTTGTGTTTAATTTTTTTTTTTATTTGTTATCATATGTTTTATTATTATCATCATCATCATAAAACAGTAAACTATTTTAATTGTATACCTGATTTTATTTTGAAGGAAAAAAAAGGTGATGCTGGTATAATTATTGCATATGATAACAGGTTCATTAATCAATTTTTTTTTTTTTTTTTTGTTATTTTAATTTTAAAAAAAAAAAAAAAAAAAAAACTAAATTTTTTAACGTATCTTCTGCTTTTTTTTTTTTTTTTTTTAATGAATTTGAATTGATAAAATTGTTGTTTGCTTTTTGATTTATGTAATTAACATTATAAGCGAATATCAATTTTTTTCCCTGCGATCCCCTAATGTTAATTTATTAATTTTTAAAATGTATTATTATTATTATTATTTTTTGACCATAATTTTCATTTTATAAAAAAAAAAAATTTTTTAATATTACCTTCTACAATACCTGTCATTCGCATAAAATTAATAATTAATAATATTTGAAATATTTCAAAAGACTAGAAAGCAATGTAACGGATAATTTAAATTAAATTATATTATTTTATTTATTTACCATAATTTTTTTTTTTTTGTTTAGCTATAAATATTTATTTGTTAATTACAATCTTAATTGATACTTTTTTTTTTTTTATTAAAAATTTTACGTAGTACTTAACCTTTGTTTGAGTGTATAAAAAAATTCGTACCGTTGTTAATGTCACGTAGGGACCCTCTTTATTACTCTCTTATTTCTTGGGGCATTTCTGCAAATTTAGTTTTTAGTTTCTGTCTTAGATCTTATTGGAGGAGTTTCGCGTTTTACGACGCCCAGCGTGACCAGGAAAAGTCCGACCAATGATCAAGGGACGCAGGTCAACAATTCTCCAGCAAGAGATGACCACAAAAAACCCCGCCCTATACAACCTCCTCAAAGGGATAGAGATGGGTGGGTGATAATAATTAAAAATTTTTGCTTTTTTGTTTTGTTTTTTTTTTTTTTTTATTTTAAATTAATTATTTTTTTTTAAAAAAAAAAAAAAAGTTCTCGTCGAGACAACCAAGTTTACCATGGCGGTCAAGGCTATCAAAGAGACAAGGACTATCAAGGAAATAGAAGGGATTACCAAACTCGCGATAGGGGAGATTATCAAAACCGCGATCAATATGCTTATCAAAGAAGGGGTAACAGAACCCGTGATAATCAACAACGTGATGACAGAGATCAAAGGGACCATCAAGTATGCTCCTGGCTTTTAATCATTTTTTTTCTTTTCGAAAATTTTATTTTAAAAAAAAAAAAATTAAATTATTATTACTTGATGATGTTCTGTAGAATCAAATCGATCTGGAAGTGGTGGAGGTTTTAGAATGCAGCGAGGTAACTTAAGGCAAAGCGGTAATCGTTCTCGTGGTCCTCCGAAGCATTACAATCGACCTGGTGGTCCAACCACTAAAAAAACTACTCTTAAGTTTGACGGTGATTATGATTTTGACAAAGCAAACACCGAATTCGAAGAACTTCGAAATCAATTGGTCAAAGTCAAAATAAGTAACGGTGAGGAATTTTTTTTTTTAAAAAAAAAAAAAAAAAAAAAAAAAAAGTATTATAAAAGTTGTAGTATTGTCGATAAGATAAAAAAAAATTATCGATTGATTTATTTCAATAGGATCCGATACGGGCAATAAAGTAAATGGTGAATCCGATAAAAAAGACGATTCGGGAAATGAAACGGGAGCAGGAGAAAATGAGCAAGAAGAAGAATCTATTCCAGAGCCTTGTTACGATAAATCCAAAAGCTTTTTCGATACTATATCATGCGAGGCTGTTGAAAGAAGCAAAGGGTAAAAAAAAAAAAAAAAGAAATTTTAATATTTTCCTTTTCAAATATTTTTTATTTTTATTTTTTTTTTTCCTATTCTAAAAGAAATTTTTTTAAATTTTAAAAGGAGATTACAACGCACAGATTGGCGTACGGAACGAAAATTAAATTCTGAAACTTTTGGTGTTGCATCAGCCCGACGTGGAGCATTTAGAGGACGTGGTTATTACGGTGGACGAGGATACAATAGACCGCAAGGAGGGTTTAGGCCACGTGGACCTCCGAGAACTGAAAGAAACAGTAATTCAGTCGAAGGTAAACCACAGAATGCAACAGAAGAAGCAAATAGCTTGTAAAAAGAAAGAAAAAAAAAAGAAAAAAGAAAAAAAGAGTGAAAGCAAAAAGTTTGTCTTCAAAAAATATAGATATATATATATAAAAAAAAAAGAAAAAAAAGGAATTAAAAAAATTTTTTTTTAGCAAGTAATTAAAAAGGTGGAAAAGAAAGAAACCAAAAAAAAACATGCTAATATACATTAATGTGTAATGAATGTCGAAAAAAGAAAATGGTTCGAAAGAAAAAGGAAAAGAAACAACTTGTAAAAGTATTAAAAGACAGGAGATGTTCTTTTAAGTTGCTATTAGTGAAGCAGTTGTTTTATTTTAAAAAAATAGGAAAAAATATTTTTTAAAAGAATTTAAGAAGGAAAAAAAAATTAAAAAAATTGAACAAAAGAAAAAAGGAAAATGAAAGTAAGAAAGAGAACTAATTAAATTACGATTTTTTGTTATTTTAGAAAAAAGTATTTTTTTTTTTTTTTTTTTTTTTTTTTTTTCATAATCAATTAGAACGAAATAAGTACAATGAAAAAAAAAAAAATAATATAATTATATATATTTAGAAAAAAAAAGATAGTATTTAAAAAAAAAATTTTTTTTATAAGGAGAAAGGCGATAGAAGAAAGGGAGAGGGGGAGTGTGTGTAAAATTGCATAAAGAAATAGTTGAGAAAAATTATAAAATCTCCCTTTCGAAAAAAAGAAAAGAAATTTCTCTGTTTATTAGTTCCCTTGAAAATGAGGATATAAGTAAAATAAAATATATATATATATATATATTTATTAAGTTAAGGAGCATTAGAGATTGATTGTTTTTCCGAGGAAAAAAAGAAAAATGAAAGGAAAGAAAAAGGAAAGAAAGAAAAAGAAAAGGAAAAGGAAAAAAAATTAACAAAACTTATATAGTTGGCATTTAATGTAATTATTTTTTTTTTTTTTAAAAATATGGAAATCTGGTATTTATTTCTACGATGTGATTGTTTTTTTTTTTTTTTTTTGGGCGATTTTAAAAATGGCCACATTTGTTGAATATATTGTTTCCATAGAATTTTCAATTTTTCATATAAGAAAATATTGTCTCGTTCTTTATTTTATTTTATTATTATTATTATTATTATTTTTTTTTTTTTATTTTGTTTCGTGAATTTTTTTTTATAATAATAAAGAGATATCTTTTAGATATCGATCATTAATAATTTTTTTTTTTTTTTTTTTTTATTAGTTGTGCTTCATAAATAATGATGATGATAATAATACAACAAACAAACAAACAAGTTAATAACGATTTAACTTTTTTTTTTCTTTTTTTTTTTAACTAATCGTATGTTGATTTAATTTTATATATATATATATTTCTGAAACCTGGAAATAGGGAGGGAGGGAGGGAAAGGGATAGGGAAACAAATTAAAATATATATATTTATATATATTAAAATAATTTGTCTTAAAAGACTTTTAAGTTGTGATTTGCACGTGATTATGTGTGATAGTGAATCGATTTAGAAAAAGGAAATATATATCAAAGGTACTTTTTTCTTGTCGTAAAGTGTAATAATAAATTTTTATTTAAAAAAATCGGGAAAAATGATTTTCCGATTGAGAAAATTTGTCTCTTCTAATTTTTCTTATTGCATGACTCGATTATTAGAGGTTTTCGCATTTTTTTTTTCACGTTGTACATCTTAATTCAAAATTGATTTTTCATAATTTTAATTATAAGTTTAGAAAAATTATTAATAATGAATTATTAAAAAAATTTTTTTTTTTTATTTAACACGCTTTTACATTAATTAAATAATAATAATAATTATTATTTTTGACAATTTATTGAATGCTTATTTTAAAAAAAAATTCAAACGGTTCCCTCCCCCCTCAAATTATTAATAAAAAATTTTTTATCGAGTATTCAACGAATTGTCATTTATTATTATTATTATTATTATTATAAATAAAAAAAGAGTAATTTGCAAAACTTTTTTTATTTTTTTAATGCTTACATATTGATATTTTATAAATAAATAAATTTTAAAAAAATAAGAAAAAATCTTTTTTAAATAAAAATAAAAAAATTAATTAGTTTTTTGTTTATTTCTCAACAAACTGAGTTTTTATTATTATTAAAATAAATAAATAAATAATAAATAATAATAATAATAAATTTAGTAAATCCATAGTGATAACTAAACAATAAATAATAAATATTAGAGGTTTTTTAATAATAAAAATATTTTCGTAAATAATTAAATTAATTTTAATTATATATATATATATAGTATAATATAATATTAAATGATAATAATAATAGTTGTACTATCTTAATATAATAATAATAATAATAATAATAATAAGGAGAAAAAAAAAATGTTTTTGAATTTAACCCGTGGAAAAGTATAAAGAAAAGAAATTTTAAGTGATGATAAGTATGAGACTGAATGTACATACAAAATTAATTACCTTATGATTTTATTATTTTATTATTATTATTATTATAATTATTATAAAAAATTTCGGCTGAAAAAATCGTCCGCAAACATTTTTTTATTTTATTTTATTTTACTTTTTATTACAAAAAAATAAATTTTTATCTTAAGGAAAAAAAAATAATAATAATAATAAATTTATTGATGTGATAATTAATTAGTTGTAAATAGGTAAAAATTATAGATTAATAATAATAATAATAACAATAATAATTTAGTTATAAATTAAATGGAATCAATTAGTGGTGTGTAATTGAGTAAAAAAAAAAAAAAAAAAAAAAAATTTTTAATTATAGTTTACAATGTACAGTAATAAAAAAGAAAAAAGTTTTTGTATTTGTCATTCTAATAATACATAAAATTATTATTATTATTATTATTTTTATTAAATCGCTGTTTATTTATGAATTTTTTCAAAATTTGAAAAATTCATTTTCATTTTTTTTTTTTTTTTACGTTTAAAACCCATCACAAAGAAAAAAAAAGAAAATTTTTTTTTATTAATTAATTATTTAAATAAAATAATTTATAGAATTAAAATAGTTTTTTTTTTTAAATTATATATATTGAATAAAAATAATAAAAAAATTATTATTTTTTCCAATGAGTAAATAAATAAATAAATACTCATGAGTATTAATAAATAATTTTTTTTTTTTTTAAAATATCTACTATAAAAATAATTAAATTATTTTTTAGCATAATTATAATAATGGTTTAGTGTTTTATTATATAATAATAATAATAATAATATTTAATAATTAATTTTTTTTTAAAAAAACCCAATGTAATACTTGTGTTATATAAAATGCTAAACTGTTACATGTAATTTTAAAAAAAAAAAAAAAAAAAATAAGTAAATAAATAAATAATTTTCTTATTAATTAATTTTTTTTTTTTTTTAATACGGGGGGAGTATTACACAGAAAAAAAATTAAGTAAAAAAATTGTATTTGTTTTTATTTATTTAAAATAATCAAAAAATTAAATAAAATTATACCGATAATTGTGTAAATAATGACAAAATAATAAATAAAAAAAAAAAAAAAAATTAAACAATAAATTTAACATAATGGCTGAGGCTGAAGAATATCTTCTTCCCTTGGAAAATTTGCTCTGTGTAATATTCCTTCTTCGCAAATGTAAATTCTACCCGATTTACCGTATTTAATTAAATGTATTATGGCTCTACCAACAACGCTTGCTCTAAAAAAAAAAAAATAATTATTATTATTTATTTATTTATTTTTGTTTTGTGTGTGTGTGTGTGGGTGTGTAATTGTATTATACTCACGGTTGCAATCGACTTCTTTCAAGTGCACAAAGAGTTTTTTTACCCCATTCAAATTCTAAATAGTTGTCAATACCTTTTTCCCATTTTGGAGTTTTTGTAAAACTAGGACATAATCCAATGACTCTAATATTTGTCTTATCGTAATGTATGGAATGCTTAAATAAAATAAATAACAAATTTACATATCTTATTGGGTTTTAAGTGTTTTTTTGGGGTATTTTAAAAAAAACTCACTCCGAAGCATTTGGAAGCGGTGACCAATGCGTGTTTACTAGCGGAAAAAATAGGACTGTTTGGCCAGGGACTGAGACCCATGGTACCACATAAATTAATCACGATGCTATTATTACCATTCATGTATTTAAAAGCTAATAAGATACCACGTAGAGTACCGATGACGTTTGTGTTAAGGGAACCTTCCCAATTTTTATCATCTAAAACTCCGGCACAATTTAAAAGTATGTCAATTTTATTACACGTACTTTTAGCATATAGAAAAATGTCTTCGAATTGTTTTGAACATCTTATGTCGCAAGGCATGTAAATTGCTTTATTCATTCCGAATAAATTACACAAATGTTCAGCTGCTTTATTTCCTTTTTTCTCATCTGGATGAGCCAATAAAACGACCTAAATTTATTTTTATTTTTTAAATTTTATATTAATTAGTAAATAGAAAAAAAAAAAAAAAAAACTATTTAAATATTCTTTTTGTATACTCTGGCTCCGTTATTTAAGAGTTCGTGTGCTGCTGCATATCCGATTCCTGATCCTCCACCTGTGATAATGGCCGTTTTACAAAGTATATCTATTTTCGCATTACGAATATCACCACACGGATCCGAACTAAAATAAATCAATTTTTTTTTTTTTTAAATAAAAAAAAGGAAAAAAATTTTTTTAATTTTAATTTTACTCGTGATAATGATGATCGTTATGGAACGTAACTCACCATCCTGTTTGATTACACATATTTGAAGAAAATCTCATGCATTTTAAATACGGCGAACGATTATATCGTAAAATTTGATAAAGAAATTTACAACCCATTTTTATGCCATTACATAAACATCACTTTTAATTTTGAATTTAAAAAATAAAAAATAAAAAAAAAAGAAAAATTTCACATAAACATTTTTAAATTTTTTTTTTTTTTTTGGTAACTAAAACGATCGGGGAAGAAGACAAAAAAATTTAGGTTGGCTGCGCTGATTTTGTTAATGTAAACATTCAAATAATGCTTGAAGGAAACTTTTAAAATTATTTTTTTTTATTTTTTTAAACGCGGAATTTAATAAATATTCGATAAAATTATTCAAAGTTATTTTTTTTTTTTACATTGTATTTATTTATTAAAAATAATAAATAACAAATATACTTATAAATAAAGCGTTTATTAGTTTTTTATTTAAATAAAAGCAATAATAATAATAAATAAATTTTTTAAATCAATTTTTAAGAATTATAATAAAAGAAAATTTTGTAAACGATGAACTTAAATCCATCAATAACAGATGTTTTTTCAAGTGCAAGCTTTGCAGGACATCATGCAGCAAAAAACAAAAGTACAGATCCTTCAACAGTAACATGGAGTTCGAGAGGAAAAGGAATATACGCTTATATTCTTTCGACATTAAGTTTCACCATAGTTTTGAAATATACAAGTTCATTAATCACTTACGGGAGTAAATTATTATTATTATTATTATTAATAAAAAAGTGATATATATATATAAGATGCGTAATGATATTTATAATAATTATTTGTTTTTTTTTTTTGTTTTCAAGGCATCATAATAATTCCTCATTTGATTTTTGAAGTAGGCGTCGGATTTTCAGTTAGTTTCACGGAAATTTTACTTGGACGTTACGTCACCGGAAGCTTCGTACGAATATACGATATGTGTCCAATGGCAAAAGGTAAAGTTAATTAATTATCATTATCGTTGGTTGTATTTATAATAATTAATTAGTTTTTAGGAATTCTTTATAGCATTTTAGTTGTATCATGCATCGCAATCGGATTTAAATTTCACATAATGGTATATTTATTCAAATATGCGATAACGCTTTTCGAAAGACGGTTAATATGGGAAAGATGCGAAAAACCATGGGCGAAAAAAAATTGTTATTCTTTAACTGGAAATGCGACATATTACAAAATGTGCGTTCAAGAATTCAATGCATCTTATTGTAACGAACTCTATTGGGAATCTTCTGGAATGCAATATTGGAAGTAGGTTTGTTTAAAAAAAAAAAAAAAAAAAAGTAATAGTTTATAACTTTTTAAAGTCGCAAAAAGATGTTACTACTACCACCACTACTACTGCTACTACTACTATTATTATTATTATTGTTAATAAAGAAAAATATTTGTAGGTATGTAGTACTGGATGATTTTAATTTCATACTTTTTAATCTTTTTACATTGTTGGGCTTTTGCATAGCAGTTTTTGTTCTTAATTATAAAGGAATTAGAAGTTTGGAAAAGGTAATTAAAATTTTTTTAAGGAATTATCATTCGTATAAATTTTAAAGTTTTTTATTCATTTTATTTTCTATTCATTTGTTTAAAGAAAACTTTTCATTACTTATTTCTTGGGAACTTATTTTAAAAAAAATTGTTAACATTGTTTTTTTTTTTTTTTTTTCTCGATAAAACTACATTTATAATAATTATTGTTTAAGGCTTTCACATTACTTTTGTGGATTCCAATGTTCCTGTCTGTATTATTAGGAATGATTGCATTTACACGACCAGGTTTTCTTTCTGGAATGGAAAGTTTATGGGTATTCCATTGGGAGAAGTTATTAAACTATGATGTAAATATTCCAATTGAAACAAATATAAAATTAATAAGTATTAGTAGTAAATTATAAAATGAAGAAAAACTGGATGGTGATGATGATGATGATAAATAATGAATTATTTTGTTTTACCAATTTGGATATTTACATCAATTTAACTTTTTTTTTTACTTTTTTCTTGATATAAAATAATGTCATTTATATTTAGTTATGGCTTTCCGCATTTGAAAACACTTTCCTTGTAAACAATAATGGTTTATTTGTATTATCCTTCATATCTTCCCATAGTAATTTTTACGATGATGTCATGTACGACGTTTTGGCTGTGATTTTTTCACATGTATTTTTTGGCTCATTTTTAATTGCCCCAATTTTTAGCGTTTTAAAAGTATATGGAAACGTTCCAATAAAAAATTTTCACGGTACGTAAACCGCAAATAAATTTAAATAATTTAAATTAAATTTTTGTAAATTTTACATATACATATTATATATATATATTCAATGAAATTTTATTTTTAGATTCAATCAATACCTTCGTATCAATGTCTGAGGTTTTTATTTATTACCCGTTTCCAAAATATTTATGGGCTTTTGTTTTCTATATGGAAATGATTTTATTTGAAGTCGGAAGTCAAACTGTATTATGTTTGGCAGTTGTCGAAGCGTTTGTAGAATTAACAGAAAATCGAATTAATATTTATTATGTATCCGGTGGAATGGCAGTTTTGGAATTAACAATGTCGGTTATGGCATTGTTTATCGAGGTAAATTTTTTTTTTTCAATTATTATTTTGTCGACAATATTATTGTTTTTGTTTTTTTTTTTTTTTTTAGGAAGCATTAATTTATCCATTTCAATTTTCTGTCGCGACAAATGTATTATTTTTTTTACTTGTTATTCAATTAGTTTACGGTTATAAAAGATATAATGACAACTTTCATTTTATGATGGGTTATCAGCCTCCATTTATTTTTCATTGTTTGGAAATATCATCGACGGTTATATGCATTGTCAGTTTTAAAATAATATCAATATTTAATTATTTTAATTTGAATTTTATAATAATCGTTTAATACCTTTTTGTTTTTTTTTTTTTTTTTAGTTTTTTTTCGGAGCTACACTTTTCATGCTTCGAACTTTTACTGAAGCGAAAAAAATTGAATATTTATTGCAACTTACCGTACCTATTGCTGTAATGCTATTTTGTTTTTGTTTACAAATTATTTTTGCATATAAAAAAAATGTAAATAGTTTTGTAACTTTTTTTATTTTCCTTTTTTTGCCTTTAAAAACCATCGTAAAAATAAACTTGAAAATTTTTATATATACTTTCATGTTTGATAAATTAAAAAAAAAAAAAAATAATAATAATAATAATAATAATTCAATTTTTTTTTTTTAGGATCTATTACAAGCTTTTAAATATAATGCTTCTTGGGGCCCTAAAGTTCCTCTTTTAAGCAAAAGTAGAGTTGTTTTTAATTCGAAAGACATAACTAAGGAATTTATGTATCGTAAAGAACTTTATAAAAAGCCATTCATGAAAACTAAAGATTTTAGCGACCAATGTGCCATTCATCTTATATAAAAAAAAATTTTTACAAAATTACAAAAGTAATTAGAATTTAAATTTTATGTTTAAATTAAAAAAAAAAAAAACTATAAATTAAAATTATTTATGTGCAATATACAACGTTCAACATTTTTTTTTTTAAAAGTATACTGGGTGTTGTAATGATAATAATAAAAGTAGTAACAAAGTAAAATTACACATAGAATTAATCGCATGATTTCGAGAGACAAATATTAAAACAAAATTTTTTATTTTTTTGCATAAAATACATTCGAAAATAAGATTTTATTTGTTTTTTGAAATGAAAAACAAAAAGATATTTAAAAAAAATATACAAATTGAAATAAATTTTTATAATAAAGTACCAAACAAATTTATTTTTAAATATTAAAAAAAATTTTTTACAAAATTAAATAAATGTATATGTATATATGTATTTATAATAAAGTATAAAATTTATTTATAAGTTAATTTATTTACTTTAATCTATTTTTTTTTTTTTAAATATTATTAATTTGCTCCAGTTTTTTGTAATTAATTTAATATACAAAATTTCATTAGAAAAATCTATTGAAAGTATATGCAATAAATAAATTTACTAAAAATTTTAAATAATTTACTAGTAGTGTGACAAAATATAAGTAAATTTACTAACCGTTTTATCAATGACTATTTTTTCTTAATAATTAATTTAATATCAGGTAAATATCTGTATGTATAATGTAAAAATTATGAATTAAATTACTTTAATCTCAAGATTTATCTTGATGAATTGAAACTATATGTCGTCCAGGTACCATAACTAATCCCAAACCTCTAGGTTCTTCTGTAAAACAATCTTCTTCTCTTAAATATTCACTGCATGATCCTAAAATGACATTGGCATCTCTGTCTGTACATAAAAAAATCCCTATTAAAACTCTTCCATCTGTCATTTTTATTTTTAATGAACCGTTTAAAAGTGATTCAAGTTTTTTTTTCCCAGGTCTTCCGGAGAAG